GAATTCCAAAGAAGAAGAGGAGGGGGGTTGGCGCGTCTGCTGCTTCTGTTCTTTTTATTTTTTTATTTTTTTATACTTTATTAAACATAAAATACTTTGGCATTTATTATTTATTTTACCCTACTTGGGCCAAAACTCAATTTCTACTTCTAATTTAAACCAAATTCTTTAATTTCTTAAACCAAAAGCCCAAAATAATATTGTCCGACTCCGGCGTCGGACCCCGACGAACTCCGACGATTATTTTACGGGATAATATGGTGCATACTACTCTGAGACATTCTCTCATGTTGCCAAGTTGACTTATGTTCATATACTGATCTCTTTGGTTGCTCGTCATAACTAGCCACTCTGACAATTAGATTTGAAGAATACTTTCCTCCATGGTAACCTCGACGATATGGTGTATATGAAGCAACCTCTAGGGTTTGTTTCTCAAGGGGATTTGAGAAAAGTGTGTCATTTGCGAAAGTCATTGTATAGCCTTAAGAAGATTCCTCGAGCGTGGTTTGGCAAGTTTGGTTATACAATTGACAACTTTGGGATGATGAAGCGCAAATCGAATCATTCCTTGTTAAATTGGTTTCGTGGAAAAGCATGGAATAACGTGGTTTAAGATCAAATGTTGAATCAATGTACCGAGCGATGGTGTAGTCTATGTGTGAAATTATTTAGATCGGTTAGTTTCTTACAAAGTTGAGTTTTCAAATCTCAGCCCCAACACAATTATGTTGTGACAAACAGGTAGCTCTTCACATAACATCTAATCTTGTATTCTAAGAACATATTAAAGTTCACTATTATTTGTTAGGGAGAAGATCTAACAAGGAGTGGTAGTCATAGTTCATATGAAAAAAGAAGACCAAGTTAGAGATCTACTAACCAAAGCTTTACCTATAGCCTCCGCCTTAAATATTTTTGTGACAAGTTGAGCATGAACAATATTTATGCTCCAGCTTTTGGGGAAGTGTTATATGTATTGTGTTATATATATATATATATATCACTACAAGAAAAAATCATTTTTGTTACAAAACTTTTTTGTCTCTAAATCTATTTTTTCAGTTACTAATGACATTAGAGACGGAAATAGGAATAGAATTACGTCAGCTACGTGAACTTTAGGGACGGAATTCCGTTACAAATATATTATTTTTTTGTAGTGTATATACTCCATCTGTCCCGGCTATGGTGTCATCTTTACTGTAGACGCGAGAATTTAGAAGTAGTATAATTAGTAAATAATTAAAAATGTATTACTGAAAGTAATTATCGTATAATAAAAATAATTATATATTAAGATTAAGATAAGTAATTAGTCTAATTAAAATTTAAAAAAATATATAAGTTAAACAATTTTAAATGAGATTAAAGTGTATAATTCTTTTTAAAAATGAAAATGACAAAATATGTAGAACATACGGAATGGAAATATGAAATAGTAAGTGAGACGAATGGATTATTAATTAGTACCTAATTATATAGTGGTCTCACAACCTTAATAAGATTAGTGTTGTATACATGTGTAATATTATTGTAATATCTTAATTAAGTGAAATTAGAATATTAGACTTTTAGACAAGAGAAACATAAAGGTACTACTTAGCCTCGGATGAGGCAGATTCATATAAAACCTATCAAAGTAGGAGGCTTATTAGCAAAGTGGTGATCCTTTGTTTAATAGCACAATCAATGTGCACAATTAATGAGAATACTTATTTCATGGAAAAATTTGTATTTTTTCAATTACAGTTAAAGTTCCAACAAAGAAGAACTCGGAGAATAAGATTGTTAGAACACTAGTTATGAAACCACTAAAGTCAATCACAAAGGAAACCACAAAAAAACTGTTAATCAATAAGGTGCAATGAATACACCTTCAAACTTAATGTTAGCAATTATTTTAACTCTTACGAAACATTTCATCATAGAGTTGATCATGATAATATAAAGTCTTCCAAGTGAGAATTCTTTCAAAAATCCTTATCTAGTGACGGCGTTTTTCACACACTGTATAATTAAAATATAATAAAATTACTTCCACAATAAAGATAAACGTAGTATAGCTAAAGTAGGGTCATCTTCTCAAATAATCAGAAGGTTTTATTTTTTGTTGTAAATGCATTCCTAACTAGAAGAGTCTAATTCAATTTAATAATTATCGATGTGGAACTGTTTAAAATTGATTTTGTGATTCCCTAATGGTGTCTGCCCCTAGTCGTTATTTGAACCAAATTAAAATGTAATTATGGATATCTAATTTATTTTAGCAATCAATCTTTAATCTAATTGAAATATCTTGCCACAATACCCAACTAAATCAAATATTATTAAGCATTAAAATCATAAATCAGATAAATATTTAGGAACCAAGAAATAATATAAAATAAAAATAGAGCTTAATCTCACAAACCCATACTAAGTTGTTTTTTCCACTCCTAACTAGAAAAGTAAACTAATCTCTAATCCTGGGAGGAAGAATAAAAATAACAAAGATTGGCATTGCCTGAGATGATTCGGATTGACGGAAGAACTTGAAATCTTCTTCGAAGAATCCTTCTCCTTATTACTATTGCGTGATTTTTTTCCGGGACTATTATGTATTGTTCTCCTCCGTGGCATGAATAATGGTGCCTCCCCCATTCTTTTCTTTTATTTTTGTAACAATTGGGCTTTTAGGCCTTTTGATTAATTCTTTAAAATTTTTAGCTTTTTTGTTTTCTTTTCCCTCTAATTCTATCAATTTTATTATTTTTCTCATACATATCATAAATAAATAATATATACACAAATTAGGTAGAATCATAAATAATATAAATATTTAAAACATACAATTTCTGACTATCATTCAACAATTAGAAAAAATTGGACAATTGATGCTAACAAGACTATTATGATTCAACAAGATAATGCAAAGCCTCATATCAATAAGTATAATCCAAAATTCATAGAGGCTACATGCAATAATGAATTCAACATTAAGTTGGTGTTTCAACCACCAAACAATCCAGACATAAATGTAAATGAATTTGAACAAATATTATCACCATGTACTATAGTTGTTGATCCGTTATAGGCGGTACATAAATAATTTGAGGAGATATCAAACACAAACTTCAACTCTTTTTTTTTTTTTTTTTTTTAAGTTTTCAAGCATGCATGGTGAAAATCATTTTGTAAGGTCAAACAATTACAATGTCCCTTACCTAGGTAAGAAAACAATAAGTAAGATATACAATCTACCTAAATCTTGAAATTGACATCAAGATGGTAAAAGAGTAACACTGATCATTTGATGGAATCAAATCAAGCCAACGACTTGGAGGATTTAGTAACAACATTAGAGCAATTTTAGTAAAGAGTGGTGCTTTTTATTTATAATGTTCTTATTTACTACCACAAATTACGTTAACTTACAAAATATACTTAAGATATAAACATGAAGCATTTGTATACGCAAGACATTTTGTATTATTTTGGAATTGTAAATTCATCATTGAGTAATGAATTTTGGGGGTGTAGGTCATCACATAGTGTCTTTATTACATCTCTCAGACTTTTAATATCAATCAATCTCCACTGAATTAATTTCTTCATCAAGTGGATATGTGTGTGAATGTGTTAAATGAATCCACAGTTATTTTTCTGTTACAACAAGCCTTCAACAATAGGTTGCAAAAAACAAAAACAAAAAAAAAGAAGAACAATAACTTTTTCACCAAACTAATCACTATTACCTCATTTCAACCAAAAGCTTTGCTAATTTCCAAACTAATAGTGTTTATAATGACGAATCTAAAAGCATATTAAGAGTAAGTAGAATTAATCTCTTATAGAGCTCTAATAGAGACATCGCAAGAAGACATTATATCATTAAGAATCTAAAATAGAACTAACATAAACTGGAGTCGTACACCCTAATAGAAGAGGAAGTTTCACGGTCATCACCAAAATTCTGACAACCGGGGAGTAGGAGGTGGACTCCTCCCCCGAATTTGGCACAATCCAACCCTTGGAAGTATCACACTATTTAGATACTATAGATAATAAAAACTCAATATCTAAAAAGAGCGAGGGTTAGGAGATTAAGTGATGGACGATACAGATTGTATACATAGTCTACTTAATATTCTAAAATGATAAATAGATCATGTGTGAGACAATATATATATTTTATTCAATATATAATTGTTTGTTTTTTGTATCTATGTGTTATAATTGTATGATTGTAAATATATATATATATTATAGTAATGATATTTGTTTTAAATAGTAAAATTGATCTTTACTAAAAAAAAAAATAAAATAAAATATATCATAATTCATCATGTAGAATAAATATGTATTTATATTTAATCCATAACTTCAAACAAAATTAATTTGATTAAATTCTAAGAAAATTTTAGTCGATTTTTTAGTCTTTGAATTTTTTCATTTATCATTTTAAATTAAAATAATATTATTTATTTGACATCGTTTCCAATAAGAATATACTATTTTTTTAATAAAAATATTATAATAAAATATTATTTAAATAGAAAAATTCAAATCTAACACTATATTTTAAATCAATTTTAAACCAAAACCAAACAAATTAATTATTAGTTAACTATTAGTATCGAAGCTCGGCATGAATTGACTGCTGAATATTTAATATCAACACCCATGCTGACTGATAGTTAAGACTTGAGTTTATATAATTATATTAATTATATTATTTAATAATATAAATTATGATAATGAGTTTTTATGCATTTATTGTAATCTCAGCATTTAATCATCTCCCATTAGAGCTAGTTTTCGAATTACCCAAAGTTTAGGGGCATCTCAACAATTTACACCTAGCCGTATACATTTTACAAAGAGGAAATGGGCGACGTGACACGCAACCGCCGCAAGCGAGTCAAAGTAAACAGGCTTGTCTAAATTTGACGCTCACGATTTCGTTTGAAAAATAGTCCTTATCCTGAATCAACGGTGCAGATCATTCCACGTACTCGTATATATCCGCTCGTCGTCCTCGTCACTTCCGATTCAATCCCTCGTCTTCGACCTCTCTGTGCAACTGCCTCCGGCGATCGCCTACAGATTCAGTCTTCTGGACGCGTTTCTCCAGATTTGCATAAACTTTTAGCGTCAGTGTTGGTAGGTATGGGAAATGCCAATGGCAGAGAAGGAGACACTGGAAATGGCGGTGGCGGGGGCGAGGTATTGGGAGGCTCAAATCACGTGGATACGGAGCGCGTGGGGTCTTCTGATTTGATGGTGAGCTCTCCACCGCATGACCACCGGCAGTCTCGAGCTCCTGTCTTGTTTTCCCCTCAGGTAATTTGTTGTGTGCGCGCATTTGTCCTGTGGATCATGATTGGGTGAGCTTGCTAGGGTGATATGGGCAATCATATTTGAGTGCTCTGCTCTACTATTGGTGCTGTTATTGATTGGTTGATGGCCGAGAATTTGCTGTTTGAAGATTTGGTAACTGCTGTTGCTTTCTATGGTTGGCCCTAATCTGATCTGCAATATTTGCAATGTGAGGTTTTGTTTGGTATCTGAAGTAGTTCTATTTTGGAGTTGTTTGTGGGTGAAAATGTATATAGAGATTAAATTTTGAGGGAGGTACTTTATATATCTATTTTTAGGTTTCTGATCTCTAACTAACTAAAAACTTCCAGTTGAGTATCGAGATCCAACCAGCTATGAAATCAACATCCATATAGCATTCATTCTACATAGTGCGAAACAAATGTTGTGTGTGTGAGGCAAAGATGAATAAATATCTTTTAAGACATTGCCTTACGAGACATGGCATTTGAATGACGATTATGGAATCACTGTAGCTTGCTAGAACAGATCAATCACATATCATAACATGTGCCCTATTGATTACTATTTGTCAACGATCATCCTATCGTAAGCAGTTGTTTGTTTTTAGTGCTATTTCCATAGAGGATCCAACACTTTTGCAAAGTAGTAATTTGATGGATGGAATCCCAGTCTCTAAGGGAGGGATTAACGCATTCGTACACTTTCCAGCACTTACTATCTAGACAACTTGAAAACTGTTCAACTTTTTGCTTCTTGGACTAGTTTACATATTGGTACTGGCTTTAGAATGATTGATCTTTCTTGTGTATGTTGATTGTAGGTGAATCAAGGGCATGTTTCTCTTCTAACTAGGATAACATTCTTATTAATATACATATAAAGTCTCCTTCCTCTATTGCATCCTTTTATCTGTTGTCCAAAACCTCACACAACCACTTAAGGTCCATGTATATGAATGTATTAACCCTTTTCAGTCATGATATAACTCAAAATCTACTTCCTTTAATGTAATCATCCTGTTCTATTTTCATTATTTATATTATTTAGTAAAGAAGTTGAGGCCATTGATTTGCCAAACAATGTTGCGGATCACATACTCGTCTGGTAATTATCTAAGGTCATATTAGTTCAACATCAATCCCTTAGTATTCTTTTGATAATTTGCGTATGTGTCTGCTTGTATCATGCCTCGTGATGAATGGGAGTATGAAATTCTCACAATTCTTGTGTTCTGGTGATGAGCCCATCTAAAAAATAATCCTTCATACAACAATTTTGAAGTGCATCTTATAGGGTAATGATTGCACCATCATAAACTAAACCACTTCAGTTTATCATTCCATCGATTGTTTTGGGATGACACAAGGCAAAGGCTCCTTCAGAAACTATCATTGTTGCTTCATCATATATCTTTCAAATTGCTAGTAGAAATAATCATTTTAATGTTATAACTGATAAGAATTGATGTATCACTCTCACTTAACTAAATCTCATTTTGAAGATTCTTGTGTTTGGCATTATTTTCTGTCTATTTTTATGTTTACTATCCTAAAATTGTTACACATGGAATGATGGAAGCTTAGACAGAGATGTGTTCTACATCTGCATGTTAATTTTTTTTTTTTTTTTTACTCAAAGAAGCTACCTTCTTGATTTTTGCTCTCTTTCTTATAATGTGCATGATATTTTGCTTCTCACTGCAGGCCCCAGCAGTTCCTTTACACAGAAACGATGGTCCTTCTTTAACTTCATTTCAGCAGAATGAGTCTCATAGGGCTGTTGATCTCCCCCATGAACAAGGTATACCAACCATAATAACATGGAGCCTTGGTGGTAGCAATGTGGCTGTGGAAGGATCTTGGGACAACTGGAGGACAAGGTGAGTATACCAATCCAGTTGTATTTACTCATTGTCTCACTATTATCAATTATGAACCATATATTAATATCTATCCAGCAAAAGTTTTGTTCAGATGCCTTGCTTCTTGTGTTTTCACAAGAAGCAATATACAATATATAGTAAAATATTTTTCCCCATAAAAACATCACTTTGAATACTTATTTCCATTTAGACATCACTATCTAAAGTCTATTTTCCATCTACATTTTTGGAAATTCAAAACATCTCAAAATACTCCAAAACAGAAACAGACTCACTTAATTTTCAATACATAATCTGTTTTTGCATGCAGAAAAACACTCCAAAGATCGGGCAAGGATCATTCCATTCTTTTGGTCTTGCCATCAGGCATATTCCGTTACAAATTTATTGTGGATGGTGAAGTGAAATGTATTCCAGATCTTCCAAATGAGACCGATGATTCAGGCAACGTTTACAACCTTCTTGATGTCCATGTAAGTCAATACTTTTATTGTACGTGACTTTAATATATTAACAAAGGCTGTTCTTGAGGTAATTATATGCTATATTTTATTTGATAAAATAACACATTAATACCTAACTAGAAAAAGGCTAACCTAAATATGCCATACGTATAATTGTTTAGAATGTCTTATTTTAGTATTCATAAAATGATGATGTTAAGATAGAAATAATAAAGGTCTTGATTCTTTCAAATTGTGCACTCTTACACACTTACTCGCCCCTATAGATCTTCATTCTTAACAACATCACCTATTGAATCAGTTTTATAGAATGTAAGGGTGTGTTTGTGTTTTTTGTTTGCATGACAGTTTGTTTGATGGGATGTTTTGTGAAAAAGAATAATGTATTTTTCTTGAGGAGCATGGGATTGCTGGAAAAAAAATTGAGCCCCAACGTTCTCTCGAATACTAACTAGTATAAGTTGCTCATCATATTTATTTAATATGGCTGCATTGTGTGATTGCTTGCTATTATGCTTGGAGGTTATATGAAGAAATTGAACATGAAAATTCTGATATTCTTACATAAGTTGGAGAAGCTACAGCAACTTGAAGGTGATTTCTCAGAGTTTTGTGGCTTTCATGTCAATATTATTTGAAATTGGTAATAAAAGTCTGTCACAAATCAATAATGTATGTGTAGTGTAAATAATGCCTAGACGTAGTTGGATATTTTACTCTATTTTGTAACATCCATTATCATGTATATTTTGGTACTGCAAAAGGCTTGTACAGTAATGTGTGTAATTTATACAGTATTACATGGTGTCAATAAATAAACAAATAAAGCTCTTAGGCTAGGAATCATCTTAAAATTAAACAGATTCAAATCTCAATGTTCTGGCAACAGTTGGAGCAGAGCCATGGTGAATTCTATATAATATATATGCATTATCTTCTTTAATTTATTGACACCTAATTAATATAAGCATCTCTGTCAATTCAATTGAATTGAATCTACAGGACTATGTTCCCGAAAACCTGGAGAGTGTCGCAGAGTTCGAGGCTCCCCCATCACCAGAGTCCAGCTATAGTCAAGTATTCCCTGGAGATGAAGAATTCGGCAAGGACCCAATGTTGGTTCCCCCTCAACTGCAATCATCATCATCATCATCATCATCATCATTGTCGTCAACTGTTGTTCCGGGCTCAGAAGAAGCGACGTGTTGTAGTTCTTCTTCTACTACTTGTAGAAAGCCACAGCATGTGGTGCTGAACCACATATTCATGGAGAAGGGATGGGCATCCCAATCTGTGGTAGCCCTCGGCCTGACTCACCGCTTCCAGTCTAAGTACGTTACCGTTGTCCTTTACAAGCCACTCAAGAGGTGACCTTTCCTTCAACCTTTACCCTTTACATGAATGCTCATGCTCATGCTTATACTTATGCAAGCTGCTGCTTTACTACTTTTAACTTTGGAGTGAGTTCCGAGTTTCATGAGTTGAACAAAGGCTGGCTGGGCTGGTTGATGCTAAAATAAATACATGCTTGTACTAATTAATGTTTGTTCGTTGTCCTGTACATTATTATTATTATTATTTGTTTGGCCAAAGCTATCTATTGACGGACACATGACTTAATAATAATCATATTATATAGACAATATTGTTCTAAATTCATATGTCGTTTCAAGAAATTATGTCAAATTTTTGGTAGTTCTAAAATTATGTTAGACTTCTTATAGTTTCATAAAGTGAGTGTAACTCTTTTTGATGTACTTATTTAATGTTGTTGATATTTGAAATATAAGAAAAATGATTATATTTGTAGTTTTTTGTTTAAAAATTCATTTGCAGTTTTGACGTTGCAATTTTGAAAGTACAAAAATTTAGCCCAATATTATGAAATCACATTAATTTTGTGGAGTTTTGTCTATTATTATATGTGTTGGTAGCACTTTAATGTAATACTCTCTTCGTCCCAAATACCGTGCAACATTTGTGTTTGGCACGGGAATTTAGGTGGGGAGTGAGTATGAAGTATGGTAATATGAGATAATTTGGATATTAAGTGATGTGATTGGAGAGAGAAATGATTATTTATTTTTTTTTATTTGAGTGATGTGATGAGATAAATTGAAATGTATATTAATATATGTATATAATTATTATTAATTATTTCTAAATTTGGAAATGTTGCGGTGAGTTTGTATAAACAAAAAAGAAAATGTTGCAGTGTGTTTGGGACGGAGGGAGTATATATATATTAACAGTAAGTTCAATTACAAACTCAATATTAACAGTAATCCCACAAGGATTTAGTGGAATTCATAATATTTGAATTTTAATAATACTTGAATATTAACAGTAATCCCACAAGGATTTAGTGGAATTCATAATATTTGAATTTTAATAATACTTGAATTTTAAAATTCTATGAAATTTATGTTTGGTTAAAAAAAAAGGTTAGGATTTAGAATAAGGGATTTTTTTGGTAATAGGTACTCCTGTTACTTTTGAATTTCATCTATGAAATTTTAATTTTAAATTTTATATCCTCTTATAAAAGAAATAATATTATATTTATATAAAATAAAAAGTAAATAATTTTAAAATTAATTATTATTTGAATTATATATTTAACTAAATTTATATTATTTTTCATAGTCCAATATGTTTTTAAAAATATTTAAACACTTCATACTTTTATCAAATTGATTTTTAATTAAAACAAAAAACTCTTTCAGACAGACAACACTTCGGACTTATTTCTTAACAAGAAAACCCAAGTAGCACGAGAAAAGTCATCTACAAATGTAAAGAAGGACTTGAAACCATCTCTGGTTTTGACATGATACGGCCCCCAAACATCACCATGAACAAGCTAGGAAGTTCTAGTTTGTTTTATCAAATAGCAAATGTTATAAACTGAGACTGACATGTCAAACAGACCAAGGTCTCCCTTAAGAAGATTTGACACCTCGTGAGACGAATGTCCTAGACGAAAATGCCACAAGACAATCTGTAACCTACTCCAGCATTAGAGCATAAATGCTTCCCACAATTAGACTGAGGACTGTCATATCTGTCGGTCCTCCTACATGTTTAGCTATCCCTAACACACTTCCATCTGATACACTTTGAATTACACAAGCATTTTTAAATTTATGTCCCTAGAGAAGTAAGCCTACTGACGGAGATGAAGTTTAAATTGAACTCGGGGATAACTAAAACATCTTCTGAGACAATTGTGTCACGTAAGTGCATTTTTTCCTATTCAACCACAGTAGCAGATTTTCCAGTAGGAAGAGTAACATGTATGGGACCACTTTCAATAGTTTTAACATCACAAAGAAAAGTTCTATCAGCTACAATATGATCTGTAGCTCTAGAATCAACTACCCAATCACTACATATAACCAGGTTACATAGATAAGTAGAGGACATACCTGCCATGTTGAGACTGGGAGAGCCAATACCCTTCTTCTTATGCAACAACCTAATCAGTTCATCATAAACATCAGGAGTTAGAGAGACATTTTTGGAAGACCTTGAAGGTTTATTATTTTCACGTTGAGCATAGATACTATTAGCAAAAACAGAAGGAGTTTTGTTTATTTTAAAATTCTTTTTTTTTTTTTTTTGGATAACCTATCAATTGGTAACATCTTTAAACCAAGTGACATGTTCTACCACAGTGTGAATATTTAAGATTTGGATTTTTTGCATTAGTCTTTATTGGCCTTTTAACAGCAAACACACCACTGTTTTTTGAAGCAACATTCTCACTACAAATAATTTTGTGAGATTCCTCTTGACTTACTAAATTATAAGCTTCTTTGACTGATGGAGGGAGACTCATAGTGAGAATTGTACTCCTAACAACAGAAAACTTATCATTTAGACCCATAAGAAACTGGACTAATTTGTTGAGTTTGTTCATATTTATCCAAAGACGTCTTAGCGCTACATACACACCGATCTACAGTTTTAATGGATGTTGCATGGTCCCACAGTTGTTTCAGATTGGTGTATTAGGTATTTACAGTATCACTCCCTTGCCTACAGATCGCTATTTGTTTCAAAACAGCATATATACTAGCTCCGATATTTTCTCCATACGTACTCTTAATGTCTTTCCACATATCAGATGTTGTTTCATAGACAACAAGTGTTCTGTAGATTGATTTATCAACGGAGTTCAATAAACAAGACATTATCACAACATTACACAGGTTCCATTTTTCAATGAGTTCACGATCAAAGGGCATATGAACATTACCTTCAACAAATTTTAGTTTATTTTTACATGTTAGAGCAATGGTCATGGCTCTGTTCCAAATAACAAAATTCTCACAACCAATTAAACGCAAGAGATTAAAGAAGTGTTGGCATAATCCGAATGATGAAGGTACAACGGATCATATAAACTTGTAACTAGAAACGGATTATTTGTCATACCAGATACCGGAATGACATTTCACCCATTGAGAACAAAGTAACAGAAGAAAACTCACACTACACCTTATGCTCACCACAAACAACAAGCTAAATCAAGGATATCCACCTACAAACAAAGAGGATGTTGAACCTGCTCAGATACCATGTTACGAAATCAAAAAAGCACAAATAGACAGATCTAAAGTAGGGAGTGCGGAAAGCCTACACTTCAAGTGATATTCATTATCAAATGTACTTGTGAACGAGAAGACAAGATTCAAACATTACAGACCTTGATCACAAGGGATCTAATAGAGTAAATTTCTCTACACATGAATCAACTAAGAAAATGCACAATGTTCACACAGGAACACTTTAACATCAACATAATCCCATTGAATCACTTCATAATTAGAAAAGATGAATACAACCAAACCAATATAACTGTAGAACTGTTAATCACAAGATTCTTTTGCCTTCCTTTCTGAACCTCGGACACTAGTTAAAAAAAGCCAATACTCAGCAAATCAAATCAAGTGTCTGTGGAAGAGAGAAGAGACAAAGAAAAACTAAAATAGTATGTTAGTGATAGAAATCAGTAAGGTGAAGTGAAAAATTAATCAATGCGGAGATCGATTTGAGAGCGAAAGAGGAGTAGGCGGAATGAAGTGATTCTAACAACCACAGTGATGTAGTGCTCTGTGTGTGAATAGATTTGTATGGATGATGGTGAGAACGGTGGTAATGTTGTGCTCTGTATGTGAATGGATCTGTATGGATGATGGTGTAGGCAGTGGTAATGTGCACAGTGAACGGAGGTGAATGAGAGAGTAAGTGATGGCGGAGATGATAGAAGGTGAATTTTATATTAAGAACTAGGTGTGTATATATATATATATATGTATGAGGTTTAGCCACAAGCATAAGTTGAACCAAGCCCATAACCTGAACTTAGTACAGGCCAAGAGGTGAAAGCCCAATTTTAACAATTTTATATATGTATTTTATTTTAATTGCATCCACACCATTGCATTCAAAGCTTGTGCGTGTATAACAATTTCATGTTCATTGATAAATCATTAGTATGTAAATGTGTTTAACTTTTCATGTAGCCTACTTATATATTTATACTACTAACTTCCTCTAAATGTCATGACAAAATTTGTCATAACAATTTTATATTAATAGTTGATTAGTTGGAGAATATTTATATCTTTCTTAAATATATAGTGTTATTATAGTAAATTATTTAAATTATAGTATAATTTAAAAATTTTATACAAAATTGTACAACATACGGGTAGCATAGTAGTTATTATTATATCATAAAATAATAATAAATAACAAAATTAAATTTATCTTATCAATTCATTTATTAGCTAATCTATTAAATCAATATTCATTATAACTATAAAATCAAAATCAAACTTACAAACCAAAAAAAAAAACATAATAATAATAATAATAATAATAATAATAATAATAATAATAATAATAATGCAATATTTCAAATGTAGATTAGAATTCAAATTCAATAAAACCCAAATTAATATTCTGAATCCTTTTTCCAAGAAACACACACCAAATTAGATAGATATATATTTTTTTAATTATACAATCAATTAATTTTATAAATGTTACATTAATATCTATTTATATTATAAGTATTAAATAATTATTCGAATTTAAAATTTTATTTTTATTATTCTGTAAAATAAAAAATAACTATTTGATTTTACATTTTAGGAGAAAAAAATTAGTTAATAGTGTAATTTAAATTTTATCTATTTCCTCAAAAATAAAAACAAAGCATGATTACGAGTTCCCTCTCACACTGATCGGACAATCTTTTACTTTGAACTTTTTTTTCCATTCTATTACTTGTATGGATTGGAGTTAAAAAAAAAAAAAAAAAAAAAAACTTTAGGAAAAAAATTGAATATTTTTCATGTAAAATATTGTTTAAATTAAAAGTTCTATGATTGCAAAATGGTTTTTGTGCTAGTTTTATTTACATTATTATCTATTAATTGATTATTTGTTGTTTAATTACTCGTGTTGATTTATTGTTGATAAAATAATTTAAAAATTATATATATACTACATTGGTCGCATAAAATCGGTAACCATTTGTTTTTTTCACATAAATTTTTTAATATTAATATTATATTAGTTTATAGTGAAAATGACAAAAATGTCCTTATTAATATAAAAGTAATTACATTTATATATTGAAAGTTGTAAGGGTATTAATTATGTTAGGTAGCTAGTATAATTACTAAATTAGAAAATGATACCCTTATTTTGAGACGGATAAAAATAAAAAATGATATCATTATTATGGGACGGAGGAATATACTAAATTTCAAAACACAAAAAATCAAAATAAAAACAATAAACATTAAACGTTTAACCAAATATGTTTCAACTTTTATTTCTCAACCAATGGAAAGATAATTATAATAAAATTCTATTCATAATATTATACTCCATTCGTCTAATATAGTGCAACATTTGATAATTAATTAAGAATCGTGTGATGCAGGGGAAAAAGTGCATGTATATTTCTTTTATATGAGTAATGTGATAAAATATAATTGTTGATGTAATTTTTCAACAATAAAAAGTAAAATTCGAAAATAGAGAAATATCTTCGAATTTGATAGATGAGTGCCTGAGATTAGGGATCTCTAAACACTGTAGAATACAGAAAATAAACTGGAAAATAAAAGACTGAAATTTAAAGTGGTGATCCCCAAATCTGACTTTGCTTTGTTGAAGTTGATTGAAGATACCCTGCCAAATGATTATCCAAACCCTTAAATATTCTCTGGGAAACCGTACTGAAAACCGTCACCCGAACGGTTACAACGTCTCCTTCCCAACCGTCTTCCAACCCTTCTCCTGCTGACACGTGTCCTCAGCAGACCAAAATTATCCCTATATTTCACTCTTTGAGCCGACCACATACCTTCCGCCCTTTAGGCCCGACTGCCAATCTACAACCGTATTGGTCCAACTGCCAATCCTCCCGACTTGCAAACCATCGGACTTGTTGGCCCTGCCGCAGAGTCCCGACCTGAGAACTTCCCGACCTGCGGACTTCCCGTCCTGAGGGCCTCCCGACCTGCGGACTTCCCGTCCTGATGACTTTCCGTCTTGAGGGCCTCCCGACCTGCGGACTTCCCGTCCTGAGGGCCTCCCGACCTGCGGACTTCCCGTCCTGATGACCTTCCGTCTTGAGGACCTCCCGACCTGAAGACCTTCCGAACTGAGGTCTTTCCGTCTTGAGGACCTACCGACCTAAGGTCCTTCCGTCCTGAGGACTTTCCGTCTTGAGGACCTCCCGACCTGAAGACCTTCCGACCTGAGGTCTTTCCGTCCTGAGGACCTACCGACCTGAGGTCCTTCCGTCCTGAGGACTTTCCGTCTTGAGGACCTACCGACCTGAAGACCTTCCGACCTGAGGTCTTTCCGTCCTTAGAAATAAACCTATTTTCCTTGAGCCAGTTCAACCAACTCTAATGTCAGGCCCATTTTTCTTTTACCTTGGGCTTTTTAACCTAATTCTAAATTTCATACATAACAACTTGCCCGCCGCCGAGGGACTTTCAAACGCCATTTATCAATCGATGTTTGGAAGTTCATAAATCACCATCCTCTGAAAAATTTCCTTAGCAACTGCACCAGTTACTGCAACACTCCTGATTAACTTCCTTCTCTGCAATACGATCCTTTGTGAATCACAATTTAACCACTCTAACCATGGCGAATCGATACATTCCTGCCCTTCCCTTCGACGGAACCCTCCCAGAGGGCCCGTTTTCAGCCTCGAAAGTACTAACTCCGACGATCCGCCCATACTGCACGACTCCTGAAGACTCAAACCGGATGAGGGAAGTTTTGGAATCCCGAAATTCCTTGGCTATCAACAACCCTAACTACCAAGCAGTTCGCATTCGAGACAGCATCAAAACCCATCTCACAGACCCAAAAGATCCTTACCGCTCTTGGTATCGACGGGTAGCAGAACACTTCCAGACCCAATGGCGATCTCAAAAAATCGACCAAGCAATACTATTGTCCACCATGCCGATCAATCTGCACGAGAAGGTGCTCCTAGCCATGTCTGCCTTCTGGAATGCGGAAAATGGGACTTTTCTTCTACCGTCGGGCCCCTTTGGTCCGACTCTCATGGATGTGGCGATGATCGCGCATCTCCCAGTCGTGGGTGAAGACCCTGTGATGGGAGCCCTAGATGGGCAGGAGCCACCAGAAGACCATCCAGGGTGGTCTTTACAAGGCGTGAAGGAATGGGGCTGGACAAAGTTCGCAACCGACCAGCAAGGGGCTCCAGGGACCCCCGTGACCGACCGGGAGCATACTGCCTTTATTCTTTTTTGGCTTTGTAGGTACGTCATTGTCTCCCCTTCTAAATGCGTTCTTCCTTCTCATCTCGACCTAGCCATTCATATCGCGTCTGGTCGGTTCTTTTCCCTTGGCACTTTGTTTTTAGCCAATCTGTTTGAAGGACTTACTAAAGTTAGCCTTCGTTTAACAGATAATGATAATAGAAAATTAGACACTGCCGCATCGGGTCCTTTTTGGTTTTTAGAACTTTGGTTCCGCCTTTACTTCCCCAACGCGTTCAACTTAGGATCTCCGCCCACTATGCCAATATCCGAAAAACATTTGGGATTAGCCCTCAACCGACTCTGCTCAGGACGCAGTAAACTCCAATCTTTCGATCCAATAATAACCACAATTGTAACGGATACCCGCAGTAACTCTCGATTTTCTATGTATAAAAAATATGCGGGTTATGCTCCCGACCATTTTTGGCCCTTTCCGGCACCAAATCCTCTTCCGACTCCTGAGCCTTGTCCTCATCCCACCTATCCTTTTGCCTGGGACGTTGCCCTCAAACCCAGGTCTCTTTTTAGCAGCAAAAAACTTGATAAAAAAGGACAAAAAACTTTTTGCACCTTTAATTATGAACCTCAATTCATGGCGCGCCAGTTCGGCTGTTGCCAAGGTATCCCTGGACCCGTCGCTTGTCCTCATATAATTTTTCAAAGTCCTGACCGACGAGTCCTACCTAATTCAATCCCTTCTTATATCTCCCAGCTCACCACGTATATAGTTTCCAATTCTTATATTCCTTTCCGCTCCAACCCTGAGACTGTAGATGCATTCAATGAATGGTGGTCGGTTGTATGGCCCCTGATTTCCCCTGATGAGGATCGGTTGCTGAACATACTCCTTCCCCCCCAAGGATTGGTTCTAGGGGCGGCTAGACATACTAGCACTCAGCAACAAACAGCCGCCCCGGGAATCGGATCTAGCATTCCAATGCGGAAAAGGAAAGCTTCCCAGCTGCAAACACCCCCGACCTCTGGGGCCGACCAGCAAGCTCCGGCGGACCTTGGAACTACTAGGACGTCAGCAAGGACCCGACCCCGAATAGGTAATTTTTCTGAAAACCGTGAACCAACTCACTATATCTTAACTTTGATTTCACTTATTTCGATTTCACTTATTTCATTTACCAGAACCGACCTTGGTAACACCGACCACACAAACGACGCCAGCCCCAGCCGACCAACTTTTAGTCCAGACTGAGGCATTTCCTCTCCAAACCCCTACTCCACTTCGCAATTTGCCAATGAGCAGTCAGGCGGAGGACCCGACAAGGAGGCAAACTCTTCCTCCTGCACCGAGGAGCGGTCGGGCCAGGCACCCGACCAGGAGGCAATCCTTACCAGAACTGCCTATAGAACCAGTAAGTCCTCTTATCAGCAATACTTAGGATTCCAATGATAAACCTTGGTGTGTTCAACAACAACATTTCCATAATTTTTTTACAGACACCTTCACCAATCGCATCAGCAGCAGGGGTCTCTTCAGACAGCGAGGGGACTACTTCCCAGATGGGTCGACCGCCATACATGGCATCAGACTCATCCATTTCGAAGGAAGAACCAGCTGCCCTTGCCGAAGCTGACCCTCAAGACGACATCCCTGCTGCTGCTGATCCCGAAATAATCCAATCGGATGCAGCCGCGCTGGAAACCGAAAGTGCCACAGCTGCGGCTATCCCAATTGCTCTTGAGATACCTGCTGCAGTGGCCATAGACGCAGCTGCCCAACCTGCAGCCGCTCAGCCAGCAGCGGTGCTACCTCCAGCAATCGAGTGGCAGGCAGAAGAACCACCTGTGGCAGCCCAACCTCCAGAAATAGAAGAAGTGTCTTCGTCCGATTCGGAGACTTCTGTGAATTTGGTAAGATTAAACCAATTCATGCCACAATGTTTCTTTCGGAAAACACTAACTGTTTTCTATACTACTTTTCATAGGGACCCAGGTCGGCACCTCAGTGACCATTCGCAGCAGCCGACGAGTCGGCTGCTGTTATACCAGCTGTCCGCCCTACTCGACCGACCTCATTGTTGCCCCCTTCACTGACAGCAGTTCGCCCAGAGGTGACACATATCTTATCTGAATAATTTTGCACCTCCCTTGGAATACTTATTGAAACTGTAAGACTTGCAGGGGCCTTCGGACTTAGCTATCCTATTGACTGTTCCGGTTCCAGCGGAGGCCCAAACTATATTCACTGAGGCCATTAACCATCCCCTTTCAGAATTAAGATCCGACTTATTGGACAAACTCATTCAGACGGTTGGTGGCCTTCTTTTTTACACTCCGACGGAATCGCCAGCCGTCCCCATTCTGCATCGGCTAATGGAAAGACTTACGGAGCTCAAGACTGAAGTGTTAGTTATTGGACTCCTGTCAGCCGAAACCCCCCAGCCTGTCTTCGATCAAACAACACTGGAGAATTCTTTGGCTAAAACCCGAGAATCCCTTCAGCAAACTACTGGAAGGCTGGGCGGTCTCCTTAGCACGAAGGCTCAAGTTGATGAATCCATTCACAAAAAGGAGGCAGAATTGCGGGAGCTAAGGAAAGAACAGTCTATCCTGGATAATCAAATTACCAATGAGCAGCGTCTGCTTGAGAAGTCTACAAAGAACGAGGCCGAATTGGATCAAGAGCTGAAAACCCAAGCTCGATCCCAATTCATCAGGAGATATCAGACGGCTGCTAATACTAGAAGGCTATCCAGGGATGAAGTCAAATGGACACATATAAAAACTGCCCTAGGGGCACTTTTGTAACACTTCCTCCTCTGTAACAATATTTGACTTAGTAATACATTTTTCTTTCTTCTCACAAAACAAGGATCACCTTTCAATTTCCAACTTTGTAGGAACCGAAACCAACTCCTTCCTTAAAAGAACACTATTTCTCACATTTTAAGAAACACATTCCAAGGCATATTTTGAAAACCAAAACACTTGAAGTGTTAACAAACATGGCGAATGACCGACCTCATGTTCCATCAAGCAATTGGGAAGGTGTTCTTCAACCCTTCTTTGTAGGTAATCACCCTATTGGAGGCCATGCAGAAGACTTGTTACATATACTCAAGCAACTAGACTTCAAATTCCGATTCTCCCAACGAGGTAGAAGAACCATTCATCGCGTCATCCGCCTAATGGAAAAAATCATTGAGGGGTATGAACCTCTTCGTGACATCCTTGGCCGCATTCCTGACCTCCATCATCACATGGAAATGATTGAAAATCACGCAGCAACCATACTTCCAGATCTTGGTTGGGATAATATATTTTCCAATCAACGAAAAGTCTTTTCAAGATTGCGTACCATTGTTGACCGTGAATATCAAGCCATAACAGACATGCAAGCACGTACCAATCAAGATTTGGACGAAATGCAAAGCCAATGGGAGAGGTACCGACCAGATTTGGAAGATCTTATTGAAGAAGAACCAGAACTAATATCCACTCACTGGGATGAAAATTCTGATTCAGAGGCAGAAAATTTCTCACAAATACATGATGACTAACAAAATTGAACCTTTAAATAGGTTCGAACCCCACAAATGGGTTCTGAATAATATTTTGCTTCAAGCAGTTTTGTTATCTGAAAAGGCAGGATAATACCTCTTCAGATATTTAGCATTAATACAATCATGTACTCTCTTACCTTCATGATTTACAATAATGAAAGCGCCATTCCCAATATCTTTCTGTATAATGTATGGTCCCTCCCAATTCGGTGACCACTTTCCCAATTGGTCAGTTTTCTTATATGTAGGAAGAATGGTCTTCCAGACTAGGTCTCCTTTTTGGAATGTCCTGTGAAGAACTTTCTTTCCGTAATTCCTTGCTCTGATTTCACTCTGTTTCACACTTCGACCTATTGCATGAAGTCGGTTAACATCCAAATCCTCCAACTGTTGCAACATAAGTTGTTGGTATTCTTTTGTAAGATCACCATCAGTAAATTCTGTTCGGCCAGACGATACTCGGATTTCGGCTGGTAAAACAGCATCTTGGCCAAAAGTGAGTTGGTACGGTGAGAAACCTGTGGCCGTATTTCTGGTATTCCTATGTGCCCATAAAGCCTGAGACAATAACAAATGCCACTTTCTTGGGTTCCCTTCAACCATCTTCTTTATAATCCCAATAATGATCTTATTTGCTGCTTCCGCTTGTCCATTGGCTTGGGGATAATAAGGTGACGAATGGTGTAGTCGGACACCAAATTCTGCCAAGAAACTAGAAAACTTTTCCCCAGTGAAAACCAGGCCCTGGTCGGTTGTTATAGACTGAGGAATACCATATCTGTAAATAATTTGGTTCAAAACGAAGTCTATCACTTCTTTCTGATCCACATTTTTCAAAGCAACTGCTTCTACCCATTTGGTAAAGTAGTCAGTCGCGACCAATATGAAACAATGATGTTTCGATGAAGCAGGATGTATCTTACCAATAATATCCATAGCCCATGATTTAAAAGGCCATGGTTTTGCCAAGAATTGCAATTCGGTTACTGGCAAATGGTTTAAATTTCCATGTCTCTGACATTCCTGACAGCCTTTGGCAAATTGTATGCAATCTTCAAAAATCTTTGGCCAGAAAAAACCCAAACGATGAATGGCCCATCTCATATTCAGACCTGCCCGATGAGCTCCACATATCCCACCATGTACTTCTGTCATTACTTCTAGAGCTTCTTTAGACCCCAAACATTTCAAAAGTAAACCTTCAAATGATCTCTTATACAAAAGTCCATTTATCAATTGAAAACGTAAAGCCTTCAATCGTGTCGCAATTGAAACACTCGCACCTGGATTTTGTAAATACATGATAAGCTCCGTTCTCCAATCGGTCACTGTTTCACTGGTATCTTTGTGTCCGACTGAACCCACGCCGTCGGGCTCCTGCCCGACAGTAACTACGCAGTCGGGCTCCTGTCCGGCAGTAACTACGCAGTCGGGCTCCTGTCCGACAGTCACTACGCAGTCGGGCTCCTGTCCGACAGTCTCCTGCCCGACCATTCGATCACATATTGGGTCTGTTTTTCCTTTTATGCCCGACTTGACCTCCGACCACATATCCTCCAGAATTCCTTTACAGGCCCTTTGAGCCAACTCATCAGCACGTTGGTTTTCTTTCCTCGGAATGAACTCAATTATTACTTCTGAGATTTTTGTCAGTAACCGACCCACAATGTCCCTGTATCTGCGAAGATGAGGGTAATTGCAAACATATTGATTGTTTACCTGGTTGATTACTAGTTGAGAATCCCCTCTTATGATTACAGACTGGACCTTCCTGGCTATTAAAGCCTCCAAACCCAAAATTAAAGCTTCATATTCTGCCGAATTATGGGTCATGGCTTCCAATCGTAGTTGTAAGTTGATCTTTTGACCGTCAGGTCCTTGCAAAAAGACCCCTGCCCCTGATTTGTTTCCAGAGGTAGAACCATCAAAGAACATCAACCATGTTCTGGTACTTATATAAGGCACACATCCGACCTGTAGATTATTCATTATGATGAACAACTAAGTGGTCGGACACTATCACAAAGAGAATACCCGACTTGTGAGAATTCCGCTAAGAAGTCGGCTACTGCTTGTCCCTTGATTGCCCTCAAAGGGGAATGTTGAAGATCAAAAGGAGCCAATTTGATGGCCCACTTCATGAGTCTGCCCTTCATAGTAGGTCTCTGTAAAATCAATTTGATGAGATCCACCTTTGATATGACCTCAATTCTTCTGGGCAGCAAATAATGCTCGAGTTTAGTGCAAGCGAAGACCAATGAATAACACATTTTTTCTGGCATAGTGTAATTCAATTCTGGTCCTGTAAGGGTTTTACTGAGATAGTAGATTGCCCTTTCCTTCCCGTCATCACCATCCTGTGCCAACAAACAGCTAACCACTTCATATGTATTTGCCAAATAAAGTTTGAGCGGCCGACCTTGTTTAGGAGGCATCAAGACTGGAGGGTGAACCAATGCCTGCTTGATAGCATCTAAAGCAGTCTGTTGATCGGGACCCCATTCAAAAGCATTTTTTCCAGCTTTCAACAATTTAGTAATGGGTCTGACCTTGCCAGCAGCATTAGAAATGAAACGCCTCAAATAGTTCACCTTACCCAAAAGACTTTGGATTTCTTTAACCGTCTTGGGTGGCCGACTGTCAAGAATGGCTTTAGCCTTATTGGCATCGATTTCAATTCCTCTCTCATGAACTAAAAATCCTAAAAAGCTCCCGGCTGATATTCCAAAAGCACACTTGGTTGGATTCATCTTCAACTTGTACTTCTTCATTCTTTCGAATGCCTCTTCAAGATTTCTCAAATGTTCGTCAAAACTGGAGGATTTAACAATAACATCATCAATATAAACTTCCATAGATTTGCCAATTAAATCATGAAAGATTGAATTCATGGCTCTTTGGTAAGTTGCCCCTGCATTCTTTAACCCGAATGGCATGACTGTCCATTCATAAATACCTAAAGCCCCTGGGCACCTGAATGCTGTCTTAGGAATGTCTTCTTCTACCAGAAATATTTGGTTATAACCTGCATAACCATCCATCAGACTAAGGACTTTATGCCCTGCTGCTGCATCTATCAACATATCGGCCATAGGCATCACATATTCGTCCTTAGGGGTAGCTAGATTCAAATCCCTGAAATCGATGCATATCCTTATCTTACCATTTTTCTTGACCACTGGCACAATGTTAGCCAGCCACTCCGCATAACGGCAAGGCTGAATGAAACCCACTTTGAGAAGTTTTTGGATTTCTTTCTTGATTTGAGGCATCAGATCCGGGCTCATTCGCCTTGGAGGTTGTTTGTAAGGTTTGCAACCTTCCTTGATAGGCAATCGATGCTCTATTAGACTTCTTGTCAAACCAGGCATCTCTGAATAATCCCATGCTAAACAATCAATGTTGTTTCTAATAACTTCGAGCATCATTGTTTGTTGCTCCTTAGACAAATAACCACTTAACCTGATCACTTTTGGAACCAATTCGGTTCCTAAATTAAACTCCAATAATGGGTCTTGTGATGAAGCTGTTGGTTCTGTTTTTTCTAATAAATTAGGCCAACGAAATTGTTCATCTTCTTGGAGGTGAACATCCAGAATCTCTTTACTATTTTCTGCTTTATGTAATAACTGCTTTAAATAGAACTTATTAATAAGAGAACTACATACTTCTAAACTTGTATCATCCATAACAAACAAATTATATGGGAATGGGTGTGGCTTTATCATGAGCCATACAATAAAGTTGTTCTTTTAATAGAACATCGAGTTCTGGCCAGTGACTTTATAACCCTTGTTTGGGTATTCCCTGGCCATATACAACTGAGACATCGGAGCCAAATGACTGGAATAAAACACTGGCCCAGAGTCATCCGGTCGAATGGTTGTTGGGGCCAGACCGGTCGAACAATAAAAGTTCACAGGTTGGTCACAAAGGTTACCGACTAAATAATCGAGTTCAAAAGAAATTTGAGGCATAGTTGGGCCAATGTTTAAGCTTGAGATAGAACTTTGGTTTAGAATGTATATTATATTCTCCCTCCGTCCCAAATACCGTGCAATATTTGTATTTGGTACGGAAATTTAAATGGAGAGTATTAAGTATGTTAATTTGAGATAATTTGGATATTAAGTGATGTGATTGGAGAGAGAAATGATTATTTGTTTTTTTATTTGAGTGATGTAATGAGATAAAGTGAAGTATATATTAATATATGTATATAAATATTATTAATTATTTCTAAATTTGAAAATCATGGGACAAATAAAAAAGGAAATATTGCAGGATGTTTGGGACGGAGGAGTATATATTAAAGATGGGCCTTGGGCCTGAGTGAAAGACTTGGAATTTAAATAAATCAATTTCCTGAAACATCTCACATCCCCATTTTTATCAATAAGTTGGGGTAAGGTTGAAGCCCCAAGCCCACATTTTTGTCCAACCCAGTGCAGGTTGAGAACCCACAAATGCAGTGGTTGACTTGAGTTTGAGGGATTGGACTCTAACGGTGTGTTTGTTTGGAAGATTGTATTTGATTTATACTATTCATTCAATTTTTTTTCTTCGAAAATATCAAATCAAACACTTATTTTTAATTTTTTATATTATATTAAAAATCAATTTTACATTCAAAATATCACATCGACACCTATTTATATCACATCATACAACTATTCAAATTTAAAATTTTTACTATTCAAATCCCAACTCAAAATCCAAACCCCCAAACAAATACACACCTTATTTTTATTTTATTTTTAGAATAAAGTACATTGTTACTCATGTCTTAGGGTGTGTTTGTTTGGAGGATTGGATTTAAATTCAACTATTCATCTAATTTTTTTTCCCCAAAAATATCAAATCAAACACCTATTTTTTTATTTTTTATATTATACTAAAAATCAATTTTACATTCAAAACATCACATCAACACCTATTTATATCACGTCATACAACTATTCAAATTCAAAATTTTTACTATTCAAATCTCAATCCAAAATCCAAACTCCCAAACAAACACACTTACTCTATTTTTGAGTTGTGTATATTTGTAATTTTGTTGGTTTTTTGTGTTGTTTACTTTTATTTTTTTTTAAGTAATATATAATTTGTTATTTAGAAAATAATGTGTATTTTTATTTTTTGAAATTTAACTTATAATTATATTTTTTTTAAAAAAAAAAAGGTGATATGTAGTTATATATTTTTTAAAAAATAATGTATAATTTTATTCTTAAAAAATAGATATATAAAGTAATAAAAAGTTATAATTTTGTGTAATTTATAAATAGAAGAAAATTGTATAAAAAAATATATATTTAGGGAATATACTTCCTCAACTTTTTTGTTAGAGACACGGCATTTTAGGTAGTGTAAATTAGTAAATTATTAATAATAAGTTATGATAATATTTTATTATTTTTTAGATGAATAGTGTTGTTAGTATTTTAAATATTTTTAGAATTATATTTCAATAAAATATATGCAATATAGATATATTTTGTAGATAATAAAATTTTATATAATACAAATAAATACAAAAATATATTTATTTATTTTTCATTACCATAAATTAGTTTTATAAAAAGCGATGAGTTTCAAAGGTAGAAAAAAATATTTGTTAATAGATAGATATATAAACAAAGGAGTTTTGAGTAAGTTCTACACGTAAGACCTTACAAGTTTAATTAGATTGATTTATATTTATTAAATGTGTTTAAGATGAATAAATTTTTTAAAAAAAATGAAAATTGAGTCATATTTTGTAGAACGTACCAAAAAGGAAAATGAGTCTGGTGGGACGGATTTAGTACTTTTCAAAATAAAAATTGAAATTTATGATTAAAGTAAAATTATACTAGATCAACAATATTTTTACTACGGTTGTTTTATTTTGGAGTATTGGGTTGGAAATGACCTTATTATCAAAATGCAAAACAAAAAATAAAAATATTCAACATCCCCCGATCAACATTCCCCCCCTGACAAAATATACTCTCCGTCTTATTGAAAGGTTGTTATTTTTCATTTTCGTCCCTTCCAAAACAATATTACAATTTTCTAATTTAGTAATTGTACTACTTACCTAACATAATAAATATCCTTCCAACTTACAATATATTACACAAATGTCATTACTTTTGTATTATACTATACTAATAGGACTATTTTTGTCTTTTTTACTACAATTGAATATACGACTAATATTAAAAAATTTACGTGCAAAAAACAAACGTCACTCTTTCGTCGGGACGGAGGGAGTATATATTTAAAACCTCGTGTAAATCTTGAATTTGTTCATGAATGTATTTTTATACAAGATACGAAAAATTATATCAATAATATAAAAATAATATTTTATATTAAAATATTAATTTTTTTCAGTGAATTAATTATATATATTATATATTTTTTATTATATTTATAGGAAATCATGCCACAAAAAAAGTAAATTGGGCAAATAAACCCCTTATTTATAGATTAAAAAGATTTTCCAAAGTAAAATAATCACCCACATAATATATTTATTTTTAAAAAATTGATTTTGTAATATATATTAATATTAAAAATATAAATGAATTAATTTGAATTGTGTATACTAATAACAATATCATTAGTATTTACTCTCTCGTCCCGTGAAAAAGTTGTCAATCCCAAAACAATTTAATAATTGTACTTATCTACCTAACATAATAAATATCATTTTAATTTACACTATATTACACAAATATCATTACTTTTATATTACACAATACTAATAATGATATTTTCATCTTTTTCATTATAACTCATTATAATACTAATATTAAAAAATCTACGTGCAAAAAGTAAATGATAACCTTGCACTTGGACGAAGAGAATATGCTTATGACTAATATTAAAAAATCTCCGTGCAAAAAGGAAATGACAACCTTGCACTTGGACGAAGAGAATATACTTATGACTACTATTTACAAAAATATATATATTATATGCTTCCTTCATCACACTCTAATGTACTTTTTGTATTATTACCTCTACTAAAATAGTAAATAAATATTTTTTAAATACTAGAGACGAAAATAATAAAAAATAATATTTTAAATTGAGACGGAAAAAGTACTATATGTATAGTGCACAAAATTATTTATCCCTTCAAGGTGTATGGCGAGTAGGTATGTCAATGGGGCGGGTTCGGGACGAGTTCTGCAGGCCCCGAGACCCGCCCCGCTAGAAAATATTAGGCTCCGAGACCCGACCCGCCCCGCCCCGCTTCCACCAGGCCCTAGGACCCGCCCCGCCGGGGCCAACCCGACAAACCCGTTTTTTTTAAAAATATATAATAATAAATATTTTTTTAACAATTGAATACTAAAACAAATAGCATTAAAAGCACAAAAAAAAATCTAAAAAAATCAAATATTGATCCATAAAAATAAGATAAATAAATAAATAATATATTTTTATTATATAAATGTACATATATATAAGTTATAATAATTTTAAAAAATATCCGGGTTCGGGTCCGGATTGGGACGGATTTTTAGTAAAACCTGTGACCCGTCCCGAACCTGGCCGAGTTTAAAATTTTAAATCCACAACCCGTCCCGAAATATATTATTTAGACTCGAACTCGCCCCATTAGGAGCGGGTCCGGGGCTAACCGGCCATTTGACATCCCTAATAGTGAGAGCTGCAAAATTATAGTATGAAACAATCTAGGGTGTGTTGATTTGTATTTCGAACACAAATCAATATTACTATTTTAACCTACATGTTACCGACAAAAATATGCTACTATTATTTTTTTCTTACAAAATACCGCATAAACAAAAGATCAAATGGAAACCCCTTAATCAAAACCAACAAATATACTGGTGAAAAAAGAAACAAAAAAGAATGTATAAAGAAGCAATGCAAACTGGAATAGGTAATCCACAGAAAGAAACAAGATTTCAGACAACATTAACCAAAATATAAATCTCATCAATCAATCATAACTTAAATGTCCTGATTCTTTGTTTGTCCCATGAATTTTAAAGATGAATGGAAAGTTCTAACCTCACTTGGCCATCATGACCTTCACAAACTCCTCATAGTTGATCTGCCCATCACCGTCGACATCAGCCTCACGAATCATCTCATCGACCTCCTCATCAGTGAGCTTCTCCCCTAGATTTGTCATGACATGGCGCAGTTCAGCTGCAGATATGAAACCATTTTGGTCCTTGTCGAAAACACGGAAAGCTTCCTTCAGCTCCTCTTCAGAATCGGTGTCCTTCATCTTCCTGGCCATCAAGTTTAGAAACTCAGGGAAATCGATTGTACCGTTGCCATCTGCATCAACCTCATTGATCATATCCTGAAGCTCCGCCTCTGTCGGGTTCTGCCCCAGAGAGCGCATCACAGTGCCAAGCTCCTTGGTAGTGATGCAACCTATCAAGAACGAACCAAGTATTACACTAAACAAGAACACTTTCAACTATTAAGTGGCGTACAAGTGCAAACATATAGATAAATATAGTCGCTAATAGTAACAACATTTGAATTAAAATGCATTGCAGGAACTCCCTAAACTGTTTTGTAAACATAAACAAGATTCAATTAGAACCGAAATGGAGAAGCTTCCAAGTATCTCAACACGAAGGCTCTATTCTCTTTGAATATATTTTTGTAGTTTCTTTACTATTTCTAATTTTGCATACAGAACATCATATCCAACACCAACGATTTCATCAAAAAGCAAACAAATCCCAAGTATCTCAAACACCAAGGCTCTACAAGCATTCTAATTTTGCATAGAAAATATCACATCCAGCAGCAACAATTTCATCACAGAGCGAACCCAAAAATACGAACAATAAATCCCATTAGAATTGAAGTTGAACCTCCAGCAAATAAACAATAATAAATACCTATGATTCCTAGAAAACCTTCAACACATCTGACACCTTTCTTTCACTCAAACCTATTGCTAGCTAACTAGAGATGCAACAAATCATTCATTATACGAGAAACCATCAAGTAATTAAGATCTATACAAATTCCCAGTTCAATAAAAAAGAGCATAATCCTGTTAGAATTTACATCTCACACTTTTCTAATCCAGAAAATTATACCATAAACTATATATAGAAGAACTTAGGCGCAGGCACCTCGCGAGCTTCTCGATCTGGTTTCTCAGCCTTTCCAGAGTCGAATCACAAAGGCTCGTCTAAATCAATAGACTTTGAAAAACACAACACAACACGCACCACAACAAAACACAGGCAACTCGAACTGATGATCCGTGGCTCGCATTTGCGACGCACATCAATCAATCGATCGAGTGATCGATCTACATCTCGTCCGCAAATTAAAGAAATCAGCTCCAAGTTATCGGAAGGAAATTAAAGCTACGAACATACGACGTTATATAAATTACCCGATCTCGAGAGAAGATGAAAATACAAAACCAGATCGAAAATCGCGTAGCGTATAAAAAGATTAAAAAAATGAATTACAAGCGTAGGGAACTGACTAACCATCGCCATCCTTGTCGAATAGAGAGAAGGCCTCCTTGAATTCGGCGATCTGATCGTCCGTGAGCTGATCCGCCATTTCTGCTTCCTTGAATCGATGCCTTCCTTTCTGCAAACTTATAACCCTAACGAAGTAATCGTCTCTCGTTAAGGCTTAAGCTGTTCTCTGACACAATATAAATATTCATAATTTAAATTATTCAAAATCAGCGAATAAAATAAAATGTAAGAGTATAAAATTATTTATGAAATACTAGTATTTATTTCTACATTTATTAGGTTGAAACATTTTCTTTTATATTTTTATTTGTTCATTATATTTATAGTTCTGTCTACTTGTGAAATTTCACTTCTGATTTTATTATTTCAATTTTTTTTTCCTTCAAACGTATTAAATGGAAAAAATTAATTTTGGTCTCAATATAATCAAAATTAATCAATTTTGATCCCAATATAAAAAATTCATCAATTTTGGTCCTAATATAACCAAAATTTATCAATTTTGGTCCCAATATAAAAAACTCATCAATTTTGGTTTCAATATAAACATTTCAATCAATTTTGGTCCTATTATAAACAATTTTTATCAATTTTGGTCCCACCGTTAAAAAACTAACGGAAATTGCTGACGTGGACATGACGGAGGTGACATGGCAGTTGACCTGGAAAGTACACGGCCATGTACAATTATACACGGCCATGTTGTTACATGGCCATGTATATTTCAGTGTATAATTATGCATGGCCATGTTGTTACACGGCTATGTACATTTATACACGGACATGTTGTTACAGGGCCATGTATATTTCAGTGTATAATTATACATGGTCATGTTGTTACACGGCCATGTACAATTATACACGGTCATGTTGTTACATGACCATGTATATTTCAGTGTATAATTATACATGACCATGTTGTTACACGGCCATGTATAATTCTACACGGCCGTGTATCTTTCTATTTCGGTCTAAAATTTTAATATTTTGTTATATTTTTAATTTTTTTTTTTAATTTAGAATAGTTGATATAGTTAAAATGGAAAAAAAAATAATAATAATCATAATATAATTAAAATATATCAATTTTAGTTCAAATATAAGTATTTATCGAGTATGTTCTTTTGGAAGATTTTGTCTAAAATTCTACTATTTAGCCAAAAAAATTTCTCTTACAAACATCCAATTAATGTATTGAAATTCATTTTATTGAATGAATTGAATGAGCTACAACAACCAATTTATAGGCAAAGAAAGGCAAAGGAAGGGTGATGTTGACACTAGGTCGACGATGATATGCATCCAACTAACACATACGTCTTCACTATGTGTAACACTCCCCCTTGGATGCATTTATATAAAGAATGTGTCTCATTAAAACCTTACTATGAAAAAACCCAATGGGAAAAAAAATCATGGTGAAAGAAAAAGAGTACATCATTCTTGTATTAATGCGCTCCTCCTATTTTGGACTTTATTTGATGTCTTTCATCCGACACATTCCAATTCCTTGTACTAGTTTGTTGAATGTTGCAGTCGGTAGCGTCTTCGTAAATAAATCTGCAAAATTTTCAGACGATCGAATTTGTTACACATTTAATTTCACCACTTTTCTGAAAATCGTGAGTGAAAAAGAACTTCGGAGATATGTGCTTTGTCCGATCGCCTTTAATATATCATCCTTTTAATTGAGCTATACAAGCTGCATTATCTTCAAATAATATTGTAGGAGGTAATACATCATCTGAAATCAAGTCACAATTTTTCTGAATATGGTACGTCATAGACCTCAACCAAACACATTCACGACTGCCTTCGTGAATTGCTAAAACCTCAGCATGGTTTGAAGAAGTAGTTGTTATTGTCTGTTTAGCAGATCTCCAAGGGATTGCGGTTCCACTACAAGTAAATAAATAGCTATTTTGAGATTTTGCTTTGTGTGGATTAGACATATAACCAGCGTCAGCATAACCAATTAATTCATTTCGAGATTCACTCGAATAAAATAAACCGAGGTTATGAGTCCCCTGAAGATAATGAAAAATGTGTTTGATACCATTCCAATGGCGCTTTGTGGGGGATGCGCTAAACCTGGCCAGTAGATTTACTGAAAAAAGATATATCTGGCATGGTACAATTTGCAAGGTACATTAATGCGCCAATAGCGCTGATATATGGAACCTCGGGGCCAAGTATTTCTTCATTTTCTTCTCTTGGCCTAAATGGATCTTTACTGGGATCAAGGAATCTGACCACCATTGGTGTACTCAGAGAATAAGATTTATCCATATAAAATTGCTTTAATACCTTTTGGGTATATGTGGATTGATGAATAAATATCCTATTATTAACATGATCCACTTGTAATCCCAGATAATATTTTGTCTTTCTAAAATCTTTGATCTCAAATTCTTTCTTTAGATATTCAACTGTAATTTGGATCTCTTCAGGAGTTCCAATTAAATTGAGATCATCAACATATATAGCAATAATGACAAAATTTGATCCATTTTTCTTTATAAAGACGCATGGACATATTGGATCATTAGTATAACCTTCTTTTATAAACATTCGCTCAAACGGTTATACTACATTCGCCCTGATTGTTTAAGTCCATACAATGACTTTTTCAATTTGATGGAATATGATTCTCTTGGGTTTAATTTGTATGCTTCAGGCATATTGAATCACTCAGGAACCTTCATATAGATATCAGTATCCAATGAGCCATACAGATATGCAGTAACTACGTCTAAAAGACGCATATCGAGCTTTTCTCGCATTGCTAGGCTCACAAGGTATCTAAATGTTATTCCATCGACAACTGGAGAGTATGTTTCATCAAAATCTACTCCAGATCTTTGTGAGAATCCTTGAGCTACAAGACGGACTTTATATGTCACAATTTCATTATGCTAATTTCTTTTTCGTACAAACACCCATTTGTATCCAACTGGTTTTATACCATCCGGTGTTTGGACAATTGGTCCGAAGACCTCTCTTTTGTTTAATGAGTCAAGCTCTGATTGGATCACATTTTTTCATTTTGGCCAGTCATTTCTTTGCCGACATTCATGAACCGATTTTGGTTTTGGATCCTCGTTTTCTTCCATTATATCAAGTGCTAAACTGTATGCGAAGGCATTTTCAATAATTGCCTCTTTGTGGTTCCAATATTTTCTTGAAGTAACATAGTTAATTGAGTTTTCAATAGTCTCATCATGTTCTTCAAGATCGTGCTCTTCTGGAGCAATTATTTCAGGGTTGACTTCCTCGTTAGATTAAGGTTTATCAATGTCATTCTTGATATTTTCATGATTATCATCATTAATTCCTCTTTTTTTTTGAGGATGTTTGTCTTTGGAACCGAGTGGTCTACCATACTTTAAGCATGTCACTGATTCGTTAGCACTTGTAATTTGTCATCAAGGACAATTATTTTATCCGGAGCATTAGCAGCTTGGATATATGATCGAGTGACTTTGCTCGAGTCATTGAATGGATCCGGTAACTGATTTGTAATATTTTGCAAATGTATAATGCGTTGAACTTCTAGTTCACACTGCTTTGTACGAGGATCACAAAACTTCAATGGGATTTTCCAATTAATATCTCTTTTCGGTTCATCTCTGCCTCCCCCTAATGCCGGAAAATATGATTCATCAATATGCAAATCTTGCAGTGAATAAATCACCCGTCATAGATTCAAGATATTTTATAATTGACCGCGATTCATATCCGACATAAATTCTCAATCTACGTTGAAAACCCATTTTTGTACGTTTGAGGGGTGGAATAGGAACATAAACAGCACACCAAAAAATACGTAGATGAGATATATTTTGTAATGCCCCGATTTTGAAGTGTTTAAAATAATATTATTATAGCAAATAAATATTTTTATAATATTTTGGGATCAAGAAATTAATATTCTGGAATAAATTTTATTCCTATTTTGTATATTAATTATAATTATAGAGACAGTTAAACGGATAAATATCGATAAGAATAAATATAAAAATATAATAATAATAATAATAATAAGGATGAATGATGAAAATAACAAGGGGGAAGATAAAAGAAATAACAATATAAGAACTCCGCGGGCAATAACAAGATTCATGTGTAAGGCAATGATGAGAATTCGATTGAAAGATAATGAGAAATACAAATTGTTTGAGTTTATTTCTCAACACACTCATCAGTTCACTATTCCTCAAAAGTCTCATTTTTCCCGTCGCGTAAAAGGATATATAAGGTCCATGCTGCGCAGATTGATATAGCCGAACACGTAGGAATTGCTCCAAAAGTCTCATATGTTTAATAGTTAAGAAAGTCGGAAGTCGGGATAGCTTGTGATTTACAAGGCAAGACATTAAAAATTACTTGCGATCGAAGAGGACAAAATACATGGAGATGAGAGATATTGGAGGGGTGTTAGAATATTTGCAAGGGATGCAAAGTAGAGACTCAAATATCTCGTATTCTATTCAAGTGGATGAAGATGGTATGATTACAAACATATTTTGGGCTGATGGGAGAATCCGAGCAGATTATATTAATTTTGGAGAAGTAGTTTCTTTCGACACTAAGTATAGAAAGATTAAGGAAAATCGTCCGTTGGCCTTGTTTGTTGGTGTTAATAACCACAAACAATTAATGGTTTTTTGTGCAACACTTTTATACGACGAGACTATTCCCTCATTTTAGTGGTTGTTTGACACATTCGCCAGAACTATGTACGAAAGAAAACCGACTACCATTTTGATAGATCAAGATCAAGCAATGGCAAATGCATTGGCTTCGAGGTGGCATGAGACTCATCACAAGTTTTTTATTAGGCATAAATAGTTTAATAAACTTAAAGTTTTACTTTTGTAACATATAGATACTTTTTCGTAGAATAATTCCGTAATTTGTTTTGTTTTGTAGGTTATGTATTTGACATATTTATCAAAATGCTGCCATACATTTGAGTGGTATCTTCGTTGAGCATAAAAACTTTGTGCATGGATTTGGGAGATGTATTTATGATTTTGATGAATAGGATGAGTTTTTGCATGAATGGAATAAAATGTTGGTGCAGTATAATTTGGTGGAAAATGCATGGTTGAGAAAGTTATTTAAAGTGAAAGAAAAATGGGTTGTGGTATATGGTCTTCAATTCTTTT